CATCGATGCTGAGTCTCAATTGACCATGATCTTTGAGACTTTGTCGAATAAGTATATTCTGTTTATGGCAATGTTCAATTTGAGCGCTAGACAGAATATAACCCTGACAGAGTTGATGCAAGAACTCCAAAAGTTTGAGCAAATGACCAAGGGGTCGACTATTGTGGAGGCCAACTTTGCTAAGGCATCTTCCTCCAAACCCTCTCTAGGGAATGGAAAGAAGAAGCAAGTAGCTAAGAAGGAGAGTTATTCAGTTCCGCCAAACAAGGGCAAGAACAAGAAGAAGAAGAACCCAAACAAGCTTAAGTGCTTTCATTGCGGGAAGGTGGGGCACATGAAGAAGAATTGCAAAGACTACCTAGCCGCTCAAAGCAAATGAGGTAAGTGTGATCTTTTAATTGTGGAAGCATGTCTGGTTGAGGAATCTAGTGACAACTGGGTCATAGATTCTCGAGCAACTAATCATGTGTGTGTTTCTCTGCGCAGGGGTTCAAGCAAGCGAGAAGTCTTCTAAATGAAAGCTTCACGTTGAGGATGGGCGATGGAACACTAGTGTTGGCTGAAGCAGTGGGAGACGTCCATCTTTATTTTGATAGTTATAGGAGTTTATTTTTGCGAGACTGTTTTTTTGTTCCTCAATTTAAGAGGAATCTTATTTCTGTTGCTTGTTTATTTAAGGATTCTTATTCAGTTTCTTTTAATAATAAAGTTGTGATTCGTGAAAACAAGTCTTTTATATGTGATGGATGGATGCAAAATAATCTATATTTTATCAAACCGAAGATGGACTCACTGCTAAACACTGAAGTTGTTAATAACTCTAAAAGGCTTAAAACTTCTCTCTAATGAGACATATCTTTGGCATTTGTGACTTGGTCACATTAGCCTTAACAGGATACAGAGGTTGGTAAAGGATGGACCTTTAAGTTCTTTAAAGATTGAGTCCTTACCCCAATGTGAATCTTGTTTGGAGGGCAAAATGACCAAAAGACCATTTGGGTCTAAGGGCAATAGGGTTGAAGATGTTCTTGAACTTGTGCATAATGATGTTTGTGGTCCCATGAACATCAAGGCAAAAGGAGGGTACGAGTATCACGTCACTTTTATCGACGATTACTCAAGATATGATTATGTGTACCTATTGCGCCACAAAAGTGAAACTTTTGATAAATTCAAGGAGTTTCGGGCTGAGGTGGAAAAGCAACTAGGTTAACCCATAAAGGCACTTCGATCCGATCGAGGTGGAGAATACCTCTCTGATGAGTTCACTGGATACTTATTAGAGAATGAGATTCTATCCCATTTAACTGCACATGGCACTCCACAGCAGAATGGTATAGCTAAGAGAAGAAATAGGAACTTGTTGGACATGGTAGGGTCCATGATGCGTTATTCGACATTGCCTATTTCTTTATGGGGATATGCTTTACAAACTGCATGTTATCTTCTGAATAACGTGTCAACCAAGTCGGTTCCTAAAACTCCTCACGAGTTGTGGACGGGCAGGAAGACATCTTTGAACCATATTCGCATATAGGGATGTCCTGCACATGTCCTGGACAAGGAAGCAAAAAATGAAAAACAATTAAAAGTCGTTTTTCATTTCTCTCTTATTTTACACTAAACCAAAAAATCGTTTTCATTTCCGTTTTTTATCTTTATTCCGCCAAACGCCATTTTGGAAACGTTTTCATTTTTTCTTTCTCAAAAAATGTGAAAAATAAAAACGAGATCAATTTTAAACACAACCTTTATGTTTTATTTTTTAATTTGATATTGAATCATATGTGAGCGGTTTTTTTTTTAATTTAGTAATTTTTAATCTTTTTCAACCATTCGATTAAAATTGTAGGGAATCTACCTTAATGTTCCTTTCCACTTCAGCAAGCTGGTACACCATGAAAGCTCTTCCTTAGGAAGTTTCCTTTGAATCGGAATAGCTAAAGTACCCTAAGACTAATTCTGTCTATTAGTCCTATGGGTTTAAAGAGAAGTTAATGAGACATTCTTAAAAGGTAATTCAATAGCAGTTGTCCTTTCTTAGACTATTACTGCTCATACAAAACAATGCCTTAAGGAATCTGTGCATCGAGACTCACATATGAGACTAGTGAAATAAGTTACTTGCCTAGTGCTACTCCCTGGCTTCGCAACCTACTGACAGGGGAAAACTAACAGCCCTATTAATTATATAAATTCATAATCACCCGCGTAAAAGGTTACATTCGGAATACTATATTCTCAATAAACATAAAATGGAAAAAAAAAACGTAAATATTGTTAAATGAAAAACATATCTTAAATAAGGATTTTAAAAATGATTATTTTGTGTCATTATTTCTTATGGATTTTGTAGTATATAGCAGGTTTCATAAACTTGAGATAATAAATAGCATAAACAAAACTTGTTTAATTATCATCCACATTAAAATGTTTTAAATTCAAAGTTCAAACTTCATTGTAATAAACCAAATATAATTGGGTCCGTTTAGTTCGCTGATTCGAGTTTTTAATTCGAGTTGAGATGTGACTTTATGTGAAAGCTTTTTACTGTAGTAAAAAAGTTAGATGTGACTGTTTCTAAGAGCTTTTTACTGTAACAAAACTTAAATTCTAAACTCGAATCGGTGAAATTAACGGGAGTCTAAACAACAAAGTTCATGCACATTATAAAGTAAACTGTCTCATAGTAAAATATCCAAATCTAAAGCAAACGCAAATTAGGATTAGCACTCAAGAACGACGTCGTCTGATTGGCTGTGGAAGCTGACCCAGTACCCGAGTATCAACCTGATTTGGTTGTCGTTCAGGACTGCTCTTCTCTCTGTCTGTCTGTCTGTCTCTCTCTCTCTCTCTCTCTCTCTCCTAAGAGCTCGAAGACGAAAACCTCACTCTTTCGAATTTGAATCGCAATTCCCGCCTTTACTTTACTCGCACTCCCACGGAGCCACCAAAGGTATTTTCTTTCGCCTCAATTTCCCATATTTCTCAGCAGCCATACACAGGCTTAGCTTTAACCAGTTTAAAAGTGCTTTCTTTTTCTTTTTTTTTTCTTTTTCTTTTTTTTTTGAAGTTTAGGGCTTCATTCCAACAACTACGCCATTATTTGTTGCTCCTTTTCTCCTGATTATAGTTGATTATTTGGTTTTAAACACTTATTTTGCTTCTTAAATTGAAATTCCGTTGTGATTTCATCGCAGATGGAGGCTCTCTACTCGAAACTCTACGATAAGTACACTAAATTGATGGTTTTTCTCTCCTCCTTTGTTGTTGTGGGTGTTGTTGTTGTTGTTTTTTGTTTGTTTGTTTGTTTGTTTGTTACTATATCGAAAACTGAATAATTTGTTGCGACAAAGATCTAGTTTCTCCCATTGGTTTGAGTTATGCTACGTTAAATCACTGGAGAAACTGATTTGAAGAGCATGAACATCATTTTCACTCGACCAAGATTTGAACTTTTACTTGTACATTTTAAATTTCATCTTTTGTTCAAAGGATAATTAACAATTTTACATCACGGATTTTAATTTCTTAGTAATCTTGCTTCTATATGCTCGGTTGCTTCAAAACTAAAGTATGGATGGGTAATTTTGATGTCTGAATAACATGTCTTTTAGGGAAATTCCTATACCTTTAAATGGTTCGTCCGCTATAACTGACATTTATTCGAGGATTAATTTTGAAATCGACTAATGGGGTTTTTAAGTTACGCACGTGAAAATATAAGTTTACTCGAATCCAACTTGAGAATCTTGCACCTGTTTGTTTTCCAAACCTTTTGGCTACAATGTTCATTCTCACAAAAATATGAATTTCTGTTCAAATTTTCTGTTCAAACCTATAAACTAAACAAGTAGTTTATTGGTACTGAAGTGGATTTACAACTAGTATGCAAGGTCGAATGAATTACAATTAGTCTCATAACACGCAAATGTACTAGTTTCTGCTAACTTTGGGATGGTTAACCAAGTAACAGGGTGATAGACAAATAGAAAGTTTAGCTGGCATTATGCTATTTGTAAATACTTGCTCACGTAGCCATGTGTATGAAGCACTTGGTTAGACTTTGCACGTGACATTGTTCGTTAGTGGTTGGTAAATTATGTTAAATTATGTGAGGGAATTTGATAGTGTTAGGGAAGTAGTTTTTTAATCACCATCACCATCATCGTCATCGTCATCATTATTTTTATTATTATTATTATCTTTTTTTTTTGTTTTTTTTGTGCTCCTCTTGCAGGCAAAAAGATTGACTGAACTGGATGAGGTCAATAAAGATCAAGAAGTGAAATTTGTGAACTATGTAGCTGGTATGTAGTTTTTTTCCCACTATATATATTAGTTTTGCCTGAAACCATCTTCAGATCTCTCACAGGTCAAAAGGTCCAGAATCTCTTTTCACTCAACCATGCTTTCAACAATGTCTCTTAATTTTCTTGAGAACTAACCAAACGACTCTTCAATTTGTTATCAGATGAGAAAAAGAAAATAATTGTTTGAGCTAGCAATTTAGGATCTTTCATGAAATGAATCTGCAAAATTAGCTAGATTAAATTGATTTGATCCCCTTGTTGTCTCAAGGTTGTATCTTGGATGACCTTGTTTCTTGTAGTTCTTCAGTAGTGAGCTTGCAAGAAAGTTCATAAAATTGTGAAAAACATATAGGCCAATAAAAAATGCATTATGTGCTTTTTATATTGATACATAGATGGGCATAAATGATTCAAAGTAAGCATATTTGTGGTTAGTAATAGATTTAGAATCATGGCTGAATTTGCTTTACTGTTTTTATACAAACACCAGCAAGCCTCAATTTTTATTTTATTTTATTTTATTTCTTCTTTCTAATAAAAAGCAATTTTCTCGTTTATTCTTAATTTCGCAGTGGCAGAGGAGTTAATTCAACACTTGAAGGATGAAAACAAGAAATTGCATTCTCAAGTTAATGAATTGAGAAGCGAAGTTGCCTTGACTAGGCATGTGATCCTAATTCTTTTTTGCTTTTGTCTAGACAGAATATGATCAACAATTTCTTTCTATGTTTTAAGTGTCAAACTTAAAACGTTTGTTATAACTGCATTGGTTGCAGGGTTTCTCAGGATGAGCAGTGTGCTGAGTATCAGAAACTGTGGATGGAAGAAAGCCAGAGGAGTAAGAAATCCTGGTTTTTGTTCAGGATTTAGTTTGAATATTTGAATTCGGGCAAATATTTATGCATCTAAATAAACATCTAATGTTTCACATTCAAAGGTGAGGCGCGGTCCTTTTCTAGTGAAGGATTTAAGGACACATTTCTGGCTGATTGCTCATCCTTTAAAAGATTTTGGTGTCTTTCCTTTGTCTTTTATATGGTGAACCGAGAAGCTTACCCAAGTGTTCTCCTTAGCTAAGGAGTAAGGACAGCTTGTCCTCGGTCTTCTTTTTGTTTTACGTTTTTATTTTCTTAATAGTGATTGATGTTTTCTATAGTTTTAAAGGGAAATAGAAGACTCAGGGTTATCATTTTCTGTTATTTTGTCAACCCGCGTACACATGAATCAAATTCTGTTTCCATATCGTTGTTTATTTTAGAGGTTTGCTCTTGAGACTCAAGACACCTTAATCTTTATCCTGAAAGTTGCATGAATGGCTAATCATTTGCGTCGTTGCTATAGATAAGAGCATTGAATTATCCATTGGCCATCAGTGGTTGCACAAGAGATTCCCACTGTATATTCTGTCGTATATATTGTTATCATTGACCATTGTCATATGGAGAAATATCTGTTGTTTTTTGCATTCAGACAATCATGTATATCATATATTTACTAGTTTTACTTGAGAGGGCTTACATTTATGTCAGATAAAGTGCTTTTGGAAGAGGTTGAGAGGCTGAAAAAGCTGCAGCAGGACGATGCTCTTAGCAGTCAAAAAGACAGAAATAACAGGGAGATGAGTACACCTAGAGACGATAAAATTGTATCACAGGAATTATATGATAGCTCATCCGGAACAATGACAAGTAAAAGCAGGAGGTGTTCTGAAACTGAAACGGGCATGGCCAGACCTTGTGGCAGTGGTCAAGACAACGCTATCCTAATAACATCAGCGAGCTTGAACAAGGAAGGTTTGACTAGTTCGGCTCATGTGAGCATTCAACAGGTATTTTTGTAATCTTGTATTTTTGGTAATCTTTAGACTAGTTCTTATTAAATGATTCTTAATTTGCAAATTTTCAGCCAGAATGCTGTAGAAGAGCTATTGACAGAACAAGTAGGTATCTGAAATTGAAGTTTCTGCAACCGTTACTTGGTCTCTAGATTTTTGGATCATGATATGTTGTATGTGCATTTTGCAGGTGATGGTTTACATGACAATGACACTGCCAACTGTCTGTTTCAAGCCGTTGTTGAGTACTTGGTGGGCTTGAAATTCTCCGTCGTTACTCAAAATGAAGGAATATGCATATCGGCTGAGCACCAATCAAGTGGTAACTGTTAAGATATCTGATTTTCCTTCCCTGGAATTTTGCTTCCGCACTTTGCTGTTTTATAAATCAACTCTGCTTACATTTCATTACTATCCACCTTTGACACGTATAACAAAAATATGCAGAAAAAATGGGTTTTTGCTACTTATCTTTGCTATATAAATTACTTGGTATTTGATCATTGGTTCCATTAGACCATACTCAGTACTGATAAGTGCTTTCTTGTAACATTTTCTGTTTTTGTAACTATCATTTATACGAATTTCAAGTTTTGTTACTAATTGGAATATGACTTGACAATTAGGTTTTCTTCATCAAGCATTTTACTGTGATCTGGTGCAGAAACAGAACTTCACTAATGGTTCTGGCTTTTAACAGGTTACTCCTTCAGCCTGACGTGGGTAGAGAAGGAACATGGAAAAGAAGTAGAACTGCTATACCATGTCTTATCGCTAGGAACATTAGAGCGGATAGCCCCACAGTGGATGAAGGAGGCCATCATGTTCAGCACAACCATGTGCCCGATCTTCTTCGAAAGGGTATCCTGTGTCGTGAAGCTCTTCTCGTAGACTTTTCTCTTTACTTCTCAAGTTGTATATTGCTGTTCTTATGAATATGATTTAACCTTGATTCTTTGTAAATTGAACTGCTTGTCTTCGGGTTTGAAACCACTACGATAAAGATGATCTTGCAAAGTGGAGGCAATATTTAGCCTTTTTGCGGATTAAAAAATATGCTTGTTCTTGAGAATTTATTTAGTTTTTAATACTTTTACCTTATTTTTATTTCATTTTATTTTATTTGGAATTAATTTTATTTTTAGTTTGTTTTAGGTATTTTTATTTTATTTTATTTTATTTTTATTTAGTTTCCTTCCAAAATAATTATTTTCCTCATTATGTAATTTAATTTTGGTGATAGGTGAGTTTAAGTGCAAATTGAAATTCAAATTGGGATAGAAATGCAAGAGAAAATAAGTAAAATTCGAATTTGAATTAGCCTCAAAATGGAATTCCTTTGCGCGAGTGAAACCAGCACAAAACTCGCCACTCCAGTCGTTGGATTGTAGTGTCAACGGTCCAAATCGGGCACGTGGAATCACCCCAGACAGGAGTGCGTCTCCGTAGGATCGTGTCAATTCTTCGGCCAATCCCAGCAAGCCGCGTGTCCAGCTTGTCCCTTACTCAGCAGCTCGCGTGATCCAGTACGGCGATTCCATCCAAGCCGCGTGAAACCTCCCTCTCTCAGCGAACCAGAGAGCAACGCGTGTCCATTCAATCCGAACCTTCCAATTGAGGCACGCCACGTGTCTGAACGCACTCCTCCAGTTGAGCTCAATTAGCAGCTCTCCTCTGCACACGAAATGAAGGGTTTTTGAACCCAGATAATTCCAGCCCTCAGACGAGCAGCCACGGAGAACAAGAGAACAAAGAAAAAAAAACCTTAGAGAAAGCAAGAGCATTTAATAAGGCTTTTCAGCCAATTTTCCAAGAGAGAAAAAAAATCTCAAAATAAATATTTTTATTTTATTAGATTTAGGTTTCATTTTCAATAAATTATTGAGGGAGAATTCATTTTGTGAAGAGCAAGAAGATGGAGGATCTAAGAGCTTGTGACAACTCCTAAAATGGGGTTTTCATTCCTTGTCTTATCTCTTATTTTTGTAATTCATAAATGATGAAACCCTTGATGTTATTTAGTTAATTTTGTGAGCTAGGCTCCTAGTGGAACTAAGATTGTGATGTTTTAGTTTTTACTTTTGGATTGTTTATGGTATTCTTGTGCTTGTTCATTCATGTGTATTTACTTGCTTAATTTCTATTTTCGATGGAAATCAAATGTAGAACTAGACTTAGATTGATTTGGAAAAATTAATTTAGGTTGGACTTTACATGGATGAT